CCTCTATGCTCTAACTACGAAAATATTTGATTTACAAATAAGGAATCCTACTTCGCGGAATTTCATTTATCACGGTAGGGTCTAGAACCGATTAACCGTGATAAACGAGGGTTCACTGTACTTACTTTTTCCGTCGCTGTCTCTCTTTTAACCTTGAATGATAGATATCTACCACAGCCATCTTCAGAGCTATACATAAACAAAACCAAGACCAAAAAAAATCATTTATTAAAATTGTTTGATCCATACTTACTAATGTTCAAAACTTTGTCACTTAGAAAGTTAAAAATATTCTATTGTTTCTCGGCCTTTTGGCTAAGATCAAGTGTAGAAAGTTAAAAATATTCTAAATATCCAATCAGTAGATAATCATAGAGGTATTTTTCTAATGTGCATATTTATTTATATGGCATTACTCTAAGCATAACAACTTCTGCTTTTAACTTAAATACATCCTTTGGCCATGGTTATGCCTATTGCTGTGGTGGTTAGCTCAGTAACCACCTCTGATTTAGGTAACCTTATGTGTAACAGAAACTGTTAACAATTCCTGGGCCTGCACCATCTTCATGATCATTGGTATGTTTGTTCATTGTGGCTACTGTGCAGTGCCTTCCAACCGAGAAGGCTTATCTCCCAGTACGATACTAAACAATATTCTGTTGTTATCCATAAGGTTTTCACTGGCTAATTTTCAGACAAGATTACCAGGCCTTTCTTCCTAGGAAGCTCCAATGAAACCCGTCCACCATGGAGGAACCTAAATGGCATTTGAAGTGTAGGCGGCATAGCATCCCACATCATGGCAACATGAAACTACCAGAGTAGAGCAAGCTGACAGCCAGGTGGATATGCATCACTAACTTTCACACACCAGTCCAACTGAGGGGCTGCGTTTGGTAATACATGGCAACTCTGACTAATCACAGCTATTAGTCATAAAAATAAGTACTGGCTGTGGTCATAACTGCACGGGAATAAGCTCAGGAGACACCGTCAAGACATGACTGATATGAATAAGGGTGCAATATAGATATTTGTGAGGAGCACTGGTAGCAGTAGGTTAAAGTGTCAGCTACTGGTTAAAAGGTTGTTAGTTCAAACCCTAGAGTTGTTCTGTAGAATAAAAGGGGTGCAGTCTGCTTCCATGAAGATTTATGGCCTTGGAAACCCTCTAGGACAGTTTTATTCTGTCCTACAGGGTCAATGATGAGTCCGAATTGACTTGGTGGCAGTGGGTTTTTGTTGGTTGGCTATAGACATTTTTTGGAACAGCAGTTTTCAGCTGGGGAGTGGAAAATTTTTACAGGGTAGGGTTTTGTTTTCAGTAGTGAAAAGTTACATTAAACAGACTAACCAATCCAGAAGCCCTAGCCTGATTGGTGGTTCATGTGTTGATCTTTTCCTGGCTTTAGTTGTTTGTTAAAGAGATGGGGAATATAGAAAGAAAAGAGGCAGAGGAGAACAAAAGTCTTCCTCGATACTTGAATTCTGGTTCGTTTTCTTCCCCTGACTACTTTTTCCCATCTTCAGTGTTCTGTTCTCATCTCTCTGTTCACCCTTCGCTTTCCTCCCAAGAACTCATCCACTCCTGAGTCCAAGTATCATCAAAGTAAATAAGCTATGTAAAAGGAGGCTGATGTGTCAATATAAAGTGCTCCATTCAAGTGTTTACTAAACATTCTACATGCCAGACACTTTCTGAACTGCTGGGAGTTTATAATGCATGAAGGTTACTGGTATGATAAGGTCAAAATAAGACAGAGGTAACACAGTGTGGTTTCCCATTCGATCAGATAACATTAGAAGAAAAATCAAGTTCTGGGGAAAGATGCTGTTATTTTAGGCACTTTTAACTCAAAATGATTACTGATCATTCAAGCTTATACTCCCAGTTCTCTAAATTTCTGGGGTATGGGGAGGGGAGTTAAAGTCACTTTTCATATTGAAAGTAAGTTTTAGAAAATTTGCCTACATGCTAAAATTTATTTGAAACTTCAAAATCTGTACGTATGATACTTTTGCTCCACATTCCACAAAGGTAGAATGGTTACCCATATAAATACATAAATACAAGCAAACACACACACATCCTCACACTCAGACATCTGTTGTAAGCTTTAGACCTTATTAGATAGCTCATTTACTCATGACCTTCCAGTGCAAACTTGTATTTTGTCCCCAAACTCTTATCTTAGTTAATGGCATCACAGTTCACCTAGTTATTCAAGATATTCTAGAAAACTAGACGCCAATCCCCCAACATCCCTTCTCTATAAATACTCAGTCAACAAGCCTAACACTTCCAAACGCCACACTCACTGCCATTGAGTCCATTCTGACACACAGCAAGCTGATGGGACAGAGAACTGCCCCGTGGGCTGCATCTACTCTGTATCTTCATGGGAATAGAAGGTCTCATCTTTCTCCCGAGGCGTGGCTGATGGGTACGAAATGCTGATCTTGTGGATAACAGTCCATTTCTTTTTCATCTTTAATCCTGTTCTTTACTTGTCTCACCTAAATCATTACATCAGCCTGCTTACTGATTCTGGTTCTATTTACTACAATTCAGTTTCACAGCACAACCCGCATGATGTAATTCCCTGCTTGTTATTCTTCCATCAAACTCTTATGTATTATAAAAAGACTCTTTGCGTTTGTGTCCTACAGTCTCTCTGGTTTGTCCCTCACGTACCCTACATGCCATATACACAAACAACCTGCACAGGACCAGCTGCTATACAGAGGGCAGAGGCCCAAACTCTGAGGTCAAGGTAGAAGAGATGTTGAAAGTGACTGACATGTTTACTTTCTCTGTGATAAAATTTATGTTCTTCGTGTTAGTCCTATACCGTGAATTTGGCTTAACAGGAACTCAAATGTCTGTTTCTTTTTTAAATTTCAGATGTAAAAAGCTCCCACGGGCTTTTTGTAGTTAGAAATTCTCTAGAGTTAAGAAATGATGACCAACTCTTAATAACTCCAGGAGAAACTATGAGTAATACACAGCTTAGCTCTATGCTACATGAAACCATTCTATTCATTTACAATTTTTTGAAGGCATCATGAAGATTTAAATTGAATAGATGCTGAAACTATCTGAATGACTTGTTATCTCCTTAAGCTTTGTGTAAGTTTAAAGTTCAGTGGGGGTTTTTGTTTGTTTGTTTTAATTACCAGATGTGTCCCCAGAAGAGAGAAGCTCTACAATATAATATAATGACTAGCTATGTGTCCTTAGAAAAACTGAAACTCATGATTCAAATGTTAGGCAATAGAATTTCTAATCACACATCAGCCTTTGTAGCAAAATATTTGGTTGTGGATGAGAATCACTTCAAGGATAATAAACTTCATTCCAGAATATAGCCCAGAGCCTTTGGAATGCTAATAGACGCAAAGCAATATAAATAACCTTGTTCCGCATGCACAGAACAGGTGATCCAAGTTCAATTAGCCCATGGGGGCAATGAGTCAGCAACAATTTATATGTTCTACTAGAGTAAATTTTAAACTGTGTTCAAATAAAATCTTAATCATAACAGATAAAGTAGATTGACTCTAGTCCATCCTTTTATTCTTCCTCAATCCTTAACTACTTTTCCTGGAAGTAGGCCCTTACGGGTACTTCCATAAAATAATGTGAAACCCACAGTTCTGTTGGCACTCGATTTTAGTGTTGAAAAAATGGCGCCAACCAAGTAACTGAATAAAACACAATGGATTATTAGAATCATCTATTTTTTTTAGTATGTGACAGCACACCGAAGCTGTTGAGCAACACATA